ATTTTCTCAGCTGTTCCAGGAGCAGTGATGGTGCTTGGGAATAGAAAACCTTGGCCCAAGAGAAAAGCTCAGAACTGGAGTGCAGCTGGGAACATCTCAGCACGCAGTGAGATCTAAGATCTAAGGCCATGTTTGCATTCCCTGTATAAGAAAGGATAACTAGCTAAGCCCTATAAGAATAAATGGAGTTTCAAAATGAAAATTGAGAACTCAATGTACTATTCTATTTCTTCCATCTTCTCTCACAAGACTACCAAAATTGTCTTTTTTTTATACCACACCTTACCTTACTACTAAAAATATTCCAATAAATTCAAAATTTAACTTCTAAAATTTAACCTCTCCAGCATGACAACGTCAAGCACCAAATAATTCCATTTCGCGTTAACAATCTGGTAACACTGCAGTCAATTTTTCCACCATCCTATGCCCCATCGAGCCCAAGTTTTCTCTTTCCTAACTTTTACTTTTTTTTTGCTTACGCTATCCCACATTTTCCCTTGTAGTTTTTCTTCTGTTTACAACAACACCTTTTACTCTATCTAGAAAACTTGGATGATTGATTTAATATTCATTACAAATGACGTTCAATGATTTGTATTTATTAATCATCCCCCAATAAATACATCAGTAAGAATTCAGGTCAAGAATACACTTAATCAATTGGGAACATATTCATGAAAACATTCTGAAAAAATATGGTAAATCTAGCTTTTGAAATGTTAACTGCAATAAAACCAGTAACATTTGCTAAGGATTCTGAATATACATTATTAAATTGATGGTTTCTGAAATTTTATATGTTCCTACTAACCATGTGAAATAATCTCACTTCATAACAAGTTATAAAGATGGTCTTTGAACAGTGAAAGCCAAACCATTTGTTACAAATATTTGCCTGAGATGATTCCAACATATTTGAAAGAGTCAGAGAGTTAAACCATGCAGTAACACATAGCTTTAAGGTGGCAGTCCAGACATTAAAGAAACATACAAAGTTCAACAGTTTGGACTGATACAAATTTCAAATGCAAAAAAGGTTATTTTGAGAATATTAAAATAATTTGAGGCCTATTTACTTTATGAAAGTACTCACCTGACTCTTGCAAGTATCTATATACCAAGAAGTTGACCTCATCACTGCTTATACTCATCTTTATTCCCACTTAAACCATGAGGTCACAACACAGGATATAACCCTAAAAATAAAACAAAGTTAATTAAGTATTTTCTCAATAAAATATTTTAAAACAAAATGTAAACAATGTTGTAAAAAACCATTTGACTTTATTATATGTTAAATGAAGGTTATTATTATTGCCTAATAATGAATCCTAACAATAATAAAGTTACTTCCAATAGTAATAGATTACACAACCAAAATATGGCTGGGTCTATTCTTCTGCAAGATTAACATATTAGCAAAAATGATTAGCAAAAATGATTAAAATTTATAAGAGGGTTTTAGCATCATATTTTCATGACTATATCAAATAGCATAAAGAGTTGTTCCTTTTTTCTCAACTGTAAAAACAGTAAATTTTAAGAATCAAAGTATTACTTATTTAGGAAAAGACTGATTTTAGACCATTGGGTTAGGGGTGAGCCATCTACGCTGATTTTGTCTACGTAATTTCCTAGCATTAGAAGTCTCTATTTTCTCAACATCTAATCTGCAATGTTCAAGTTTCAAAAAGCTCTAGGTATGTATAAGGCAGAGAAGTTGGAATACAGTTCTGAAAACTCAAATGATAATCCCTTACCTTAACGGACATACTTAAACCTTGAACTAGCAGGAAGGGGAAAAAAGGAAACTGAGACATAACTTAAATATGACTAACTATACTTATCCATTTTCATGTCACATACAGGCTTTGAAGTAGTCAGCAACTTTTTTTTTTTTTTTTTGTACAGAGCCAGACAGTGAATACGTCAGGTTTTAACAGCCATACAGTCTGTCACTACTACTCAACTCTGTGGTCGCAGCACAAAAGCAAAGAGCAAACAACATCTAAATGAATGTGTGGCCATGGTCCAATTAAATTTTATTCAGGGATACTGAAGTTTGAATTTTATATGATACTGTTGTGTCATAAAATATTTTGATTTCTTTTCAAGCACGTAAAAATAAAAAATAAATAAATAAACTTTCATAGCTTGTGGTCCTTATAAAAGGTTAACAAGTCAGATTTGGCCCACAGACTTCAGTTTCTTGGCCCTTTGTTAAAAAAGGATATACTAATGTCTATTTGGTATAAAGGGGTATCTAAGCTTATGAGCCTATGCTGATTGTTCTGCCACATCATGGATTTCTTTATGATGCAGAGTTAACATTTCATTTAAAAATCACAAATTAACAAGCACTTGACTAGGCTACTATGTGACAGGAACTGCTACTGCCCTAAACAGCGGAAAGAATGGTGACCAAGCACTTATCGAGCCTGTATCTAAGAAGACAAATGAGGAGGTAATAATTTTCCAACGGACGTACACAGAGCAAGGTCGAATTAAATTTAGGAGTCTAGGAATACTTTAGAGGAAGTAGTCACTAGTGTTTAGACCTGAAGGATGAACAGGAGCAGAGTGAGAACATGAACATTTGGGGGAGGAAGGCAGGGAACAGAAGCAATCCGGTGATGAGTAACAGTCAGGGAACAGTCTGGGTGAAGGATGAGTAACAAAACATGAAGGAAGGTTTAAAACACAGATAAAACCATATTCTGAGGGGCCCTGAAAGAATCAGAGAAAAATTAATGCACTGAAAGGTTTTAAGCAGGGTAGGGGAATGACTTAATTTATATTTGGAAGGCAGGTGAACTGGAAAAAGTGAGCAAAGTTAGGAGGATGATGCAGAAATCTAGAAGACTAAAAAAA